AGCATGTGCTTGAATGCATGCACGCAGAGCTCAAGCGCATGGAGGGCTGAAAAGTAACAGCGCGAGGACACGAAGCTGATCTTTAGCATGACTCGATTGTGTAACTGCGTGTTGATGTGTGCCCGTTCGAGTTGACACTCAGGCCACATGCCTTCAGAGTATGCTTGCTGCCCTACTGTCTCTTCTGCTTCGCTACATTTGTGGACAAAAAGGCCTTACTCTCGTACTCCTTAAACTGGAGACGCAGGTAAAATCTAAACCCCTAAACCCTACACCCAGACCGTAAACCATCCTAAACCCTAAACCGTACCTCCGTAAACCCTATAAACCGTAAACCCTGAACCCTACTCCCCTAGAAACCCTACTCCTCTGCAGCCTTAAAGCCTTAGAGGCTCTATAAATCCTGAATCCGAGGTCCTCGGGCCTAAGCGTGAGATATGTGTGTGTGTGTGTGTATACTAGGAGTTTAGGGGTTTTGGGGGTTTAGGGGGTTTCGGGGTTCAGGGTTTAGGGGGTTAGGGGGGTCTAGGGGTTTAGAGGGTTAAGGGGTTCAGGGTTTAGGGGTTTAAGGTTCAGGGGTTTAGGGTTCAGTGGTTTATAGGGTTCAGGGGGTTAAAGGGTTTAGTAGAGTAGGTAGCCGTTAAGTTTTTTTTGGTGTACTATAATCCCTGCATATACTCCCAACGGTCCACCTTTAGTTGTGTAGGGTTTAGCGTTTCGGGTTTGAGGTTTGGTGTTTAGGGTTTAGGGCTCCATGAGTCATACGATTCGTTTTGTGTCCTCGTTGTAAGTACTGTAGACTATTTTCAAAAGCCCTGCACTCCAAGCACCTCCGTGCCTGTTCAATGAGCGCTTCGGCGCTCGGCTGGAAGGAAAATATGCAGCGATGCGTTAAGTCAAATAATTCTGTGTCTTGCCGCCTGCAAAATCCTGGCTGTTTGAGCTTCAGACCCCATGTAATTGTCATTACCTGTTAACGCCGTATATATGAGGGCATTGGTGTTGTGTAACCATTGCTGTCTGGGGCGGCCTACTCTACGGGTTCCGATTAAGCAAGGGTTTGCGCTATCAGGTTGATAGCTTATCTGTCTCATTGGTCTATTTATCTAGGCCCCTCCGATGTACGTCACCCAAAATCCATCCTCCAAACTTGTGTCAACGCCCCGAACTTGTTTGAGCTTGCCATAGCTATGAGGGTCAAAGTACGTTTTCGGTGGTACTTTCACGAATTATACCATGTACCAGAATGTGGAAGCCTACCTTCTCCTACGTAAATGTGCAGGAGCTGAAATTGTCCCCATTCAGACTCCTAACTAACCGATTAACCCTACCCTAAAAGGTTGTTGCATTGAACTTCAAATACCCTAACCCCTATAAGCCCCAAGCCCGAAGCCGTTTAAAGACAGTGAGGCCAAGCAGAACTCCAAGCTGGTGGTGATTCGTGACGGTAGGCCGCTCGTAGCCCGGCGGCACTTGGATTTTTTCGCGAAGTTAGGGTTTAGGGTTTAGGGGTTTGCGGTTCCTTGTTTGGGCTTCAGGGTTTTGAGCCTTAGGTGGGGCTCTGTGAGGGTGTTGACAGTATTTTTGCAGAAGTAAGGCGTACCTCGGGTTTTCTAGGGGGGTTGGGGCATGGGTAATTAAGGATTAGGCTTTGGGCTGAAAGTTAGGCTCTCTCTTTGCAAAGCTTGGAGGTAGCTTATATGGGGGGGTCCTGATATTTTAAAGGTTCGTGCTGCTTCTAATCTCGATTGCTGCTGATAAAATGCATGGTTGGGGTCTTGGGAGTAAGATGGGTGCCTTAATAGTTAGAATAGGGTTTGGGGGTATATTATAATAGTTAGAATAGGGTTTGGGGGTATATTATAATAGTTAGAATAGGGTTTGGGGGTATATTATACTATAATTATATGAAGGAACCCCCAAAACCCTATTCTAATTATTAAGGCGCCTAAACCCTCCTTGCACAGTAGTAGCCCTTACAGAACCTTTGAAGGAATCTCCTAAAGGAACCCACAAAACCTCTAATTATTCAGGTTCCTACATACATTACACAGCTGCAAGAGTGGGCACGTTACGAAGAGCCCTCCAGATCAGCCCCCCAGGAGAGCCGAAAATCGAACGATTGGACCATAAAACCCTAAACCCTAAACCCTAAACCCTAAACCCTAAACCCTAAGTTAGTTGATTCGTCTAAATCCGGTCCATCCTTCTTCCCTCAAGCCCAACATGATCCACCCGCCAAAGTAAAAACACAAAGAGGGGAACACCTACCGAGGTGATTCCAGAAGATTGTGATGCTGAGATCCTAACGTAAAGGCGCTCTTTGCGTCACCAGCCATGACAAGGACCTCTACAAGGAAACTCCACAGGGACCCTGCTGGAAGGTAGATCATGGTAGATTGAGGCAAGAACGTACCGCCATTGTCCCTGTATGCACAACACACTCCATGAAAAGCCTACTCTCATCGCAAAGGTCCCAAACCCTAAACCCCTTGAAATTTTAAATCCTAAAGCCCGAATCCCCATACCCCAAACCCTAACCTAAGAACTCCACTCACTGACCTGCAACCCTGTCCGAGATGCATCGCGCCTCTCGTCGGTCGCGGCGAGAGTCAGGCAGTACGCAGTGCTTGCTGAGACAGTATTTAGGGTTTAGGGTTTAGGGTTTCTAGAGGTTGTACACATGTGGGTATGTATGCCTGCATCTGCATATGCACATTATTCGTATCTATGCAGATGTATGCATATGCATACAGGCGCGCTTCAAACCCAGATGAAGGTAAGTTAACAGTATACATGCGTGTATATACATGTAGACGAGACTTGCGCAGTACAGCATGGCTTAAGCATAGGAAAGTGACGCAATCTGCCCTTACAGTATTTTGAGTTGAAGGCATTGTAGTGGATATAGTAGCCCATGATGCGCCATAACACGAAACACTAAAAAAGGCATAGCGCAATGCAGCATCGTATAACAAAGTACAATCAGTGTAACTTAATTGAATGCAACACTGCGATGCTTACTGCAAGATGTCACACAATATGCGATGAGGGAGAGGCCGCGCATCTCTTTTTTCTAGATACATCCATCGTGCATATAATGCTTCTATACATATACGAACAATGGGTAGTAGGATTGTACTTTACGCAAAAGCTGACTACTTAATCGGTGTCGTTCTAGACAAGACTGACTAGTAATTATGGTTTAGGGAAGCCCTAAGCCGTCATCGGTACTGTCGGGGAACCTGTGCAGTGCAAGCAGGTCTGAAGGCGGCATTGCAGAACCAAGGACCCACGATGTGAGACGTATTTTCAAAAGAAATAAGTATTTCAAGAGGTTGTTGTGTGGCTTATGTTTTCGATAGGTGGTTAACAAAGCCTATCTGCAAGAATTATTGGAAGGGTTTCTTTTACGGGCGTGAGGGCTTAGTGTCTGGGCCACACTGGCTGTGGATTAGAGTTTCGGGTCTAACCATAGTTTCGGGTTTCAGGTTTTTGGGGCCTGGCGTAAGGAAACACCATGAGATACCCCTAGAAAGCTCACGAAACAGGTGTGCTGCAGACTCTGCTGCTGGGCTGAAGTGAGCACGAAGTGAGGTGTCGCTCTTTTTACTCGGATTGTTGCATTTGGTTCTGCGTATGAACCTCATCGAAGAGAGCAGTTGCTTCTTGTTGAGATTGGAGGCTTAAGAGATCATGGGTCGTTCTGAGGCCCTGGCTGTACCCTAAACCCTAAACCCTAAACCCTAAACCCTAAACCCCTAAACCCTAAACCCTAAACCCCTAAACCCTAAACCCTAAACCCCTAAACCCCTAACCCCAAAACCCTAAACCCGTTGGGGCCCTTGGCTTGCTGCTTGTAGGTTTCTGGGACCAGAGGTCGCAAAAAAAAGGGGCCCAAAGTATTTACCAATCCTATTTTGGGGTTCCTGATTCTAAGATTAGTACATGCCGAAACCTCATTATGGTTGTTAGAGCCTTATATGATCTAGCTAGAGTTGTCGCTAGCAGAAGGCCCCTAAACCCTAAACCCTAAACCTGGAGTTGCGCTTGTCAGCTGGACCTGCTGAGTGTAATGAGTCGACGCAAGTTCCGGAAACCCTGACTCTGAAGCTCATCCTTTCTGTATTTCAGTTCTGTAGTACTTGCAATTGCACACATACCTTGGGGACCAAATGACCCTTATAAGTAATGGGCCCTATACCCTTATACTATGAATCCCTATTTTTTATATGAGCCTGAAACCCTTTTGGGCATCATTTCGTCCTTAAGCTAAGCCTTAATTAATGGCAATCCAGCAGCAGCAGCAGCAGCAGCAGCAGCAGCAGCAGCAGCAGCAGCAGCAGCAGACTTCTCTGATGCTTGAACCCTCATGTACACGGTCTGTATCTGTATCAACAGCGACGACTGCACAACCGCAGTATGGTACGTGTGTGGAAACCTCTATCAACACCGCTTCATTCCTGTATTGAGCCCTACTTATTATGGTTCAGAGTGTTGGTGACTTGTGCAGGGTGCGAACAACGACATCGAAGAGGTACCATCTACATGTTTTAGGGGCCCAAGTTACAGGTGGTAATGACCCCTTACCGTTCCCCCAACAGAAGTTCCCGAATACACGGGTAAAATTCTGGTCCAGGCCTCTGCTTATTCGCTTAACGCAACGCAAGGTGGATCTGGGGGACTATCAATGATGCTGTGGTTTCTGGCGGGGCTGTGGGTTACGGTCAGCCCTACCGTCTACCCCTTAGAACCTTTGACCCCTACAATCTTTAAACCCCAGAAGATCTGTAGGTCGGACCAATTGATGACAATGCCTCCAAAGAAGCCTAAACCCTAAATCTTTAACCCTGAACCCTAAACCCTGAAACCGAAACCCTAAACCCTGAACCCTAAGCCCTAAACCCGAAGCCCTAAACCCGAAACTCTAAGCCTTAAATCCTGAACCCTAAGCCCTATATCGTAAAAGCCCAAAAGCCACAGTCAACACTTGGGCTGAGGAAGCGCATGAGCACGGTCCTGCATGCGGCGGAGCAACGGCGAGGGCAGACAGTCGTGGAGCTGGGCAGCAGCCTCGTTGGTCCGGCTTATAAGGCTTGGAGGATTAGGGTTTAGGTTTTAGGGGGATGCGTGGGGTTTTCTGTTTAGTTTTGTCGGGTTTCAGGTTTTCGATTTTCCGGTGACGCCAACTACCACGGTGTCCAAAGTAATATGGTTGCGCCCTAAACCTTAAAACCCAAAGCTATTGTTCAGGCTTTGGAGTGGCAGGCAGTGCTTGCCTTTGTTACCTGGTGAGGTGTAGGGATTATGGGGTTTAGGGGTTCAGGGGTTTAGGGGTTTAGGGGTTCAGGGGTTTTAGGGGTTTAGGGTTTAGGGGTTCAGGAAGTGAGGGGTTAGTCAGGGACCGCTGTGAGGGACTCCTTTCTCGTTTCAGGTGGGCAGCTACTCACACAAGCGTGCTAAAGACATGGGCAGTGCACCTTATGTGCCCAGGCGAGGCGTGGACCCTAAAATTCTGGAGGACACTGCTGGAGCTTTCGCGATCAAGGTGCGCGCCATCACATTTTGGCTGTTGTGCAGATGGGTTCTTGGTGTGCGAACGCGGGGTCATGGCCCTTCCGCAGCTTCCGCATTCCACGCAAACCCATGTTGCCCATTGGGATGGTTTCGTCGGTCGAGAACATCTGTGGCGGGATTGGCATTATGGTTTGGGTTGATTCAATCCTTCTCCCTCGAACCAGCTATAGCGAACCCCAGAAAGTTGGAACATGGGTTTAGGATGATTGGTGCTAAGATCCCACATACTTTACCTTAAGAGCATGAGGATAGTCATGTTCCAACTTTCTGGCTTCTGCGTTAGCTTCTTGTGGGAGTTTCCGAATATAAGATCCTACTTTTCAGGGTGCTATATTAGGGTCCCCTATTTTCGGAAATCCCCTTGTTGAGTCGAGGGCGTTGGCAGATACCGGCGAGGCCATGTTGACAGCGATCGCCCTAAACCCTACGCCGTAAACCCTAAACACTAAACCGTTTAGGGTTTAGGGTTTACCTTAAGAACCCAAAACCTACTTTTTTGTAGGTCCCTATAAATCCCATATCAGGGTTTATAATAAGAACCTAAAAAGTGGGTTTGGGGTTCTTAAGGTAGGGTTGCGACAGTCACAATTCTCGGACCTTTCGGTTCAGTCTACGCTAAGAGCATAATTAGCTACATAGTAAGCTACTGGGTCTATGGGTACTATGATTAAGGGTTAATATAGGGCTCAAGGGAAAGACCCTAAAGCCTAAACCCTGAACCCTAAACCCTAAACCCTAAACCATGAACCCTAAAGCCTAAACCCTGAACCCTACAGCCTAATCCCTGAACCCTAAAGCCTAAACCCTGAACCCTAAACTTTAAACCCTAGACCCTAAACCCTAAACCCTAAACGAAACCCTGAG